GAACGTTGATATCATGGCCTTGACAGAAACGTGGCTCACCCCAGGCGACACCTTCCCCCTCACGGAGGCCACGCCACCCGGCTACACCTCCCACCACATCCCCCGCCCCAACCGCCGTGGCGGTGGTGTTGCCCTTATCTCAAGGACACCACTTGCCCTATCCCCCTACTCCTCTGGCTCTTTCCCCTCCTTCGAGCACCTCACCCTCTCCCACCCCTCATTCCTCTCCCTTAAAATCCTCCTCCTCTACCGGCCCCCTAAAACCTCTCCCACCTTCATCTCTGACATTTCAACACTCCTCACATCTCTTTGCCTCTCCTCTGATCGCCTCATCATCCTGGGCGACTTTAACCTACACTTCACCCCCTCCTGCTCCATCTCCACAGACTTCTCTTCCCTGCTCTCCTCACTCAACCTTTCCCTACACATAAACTCCCCCACTCACAGTCACGGCCACCCACTCGATTTGGTGATCACCCGGGGCCTCAGTGTCTCGGATGTCACTATTACCGACAAGGCCATCTCCGACCACTACTTCATCTCCTTCACCACCTCCACCCCCCTCCCCACCTCCACCAGACCCACCACCATCTTCTACCGCCCTTGGAAGAAGTTACCCCCACAATCCCTAACCGATGCCTTGGAGTCCTCTGAACTCCTCTCCCTCTGGCCTTCAACCCTCACCGACCCCTCTTCTCCTCTCTCCCTCCTCCACAATATCCTCTCCTCCACACTCGATACTCTTGCCCCCATCACTTCCCGCACTGTCTCCTACTCCCGCTCCTCCCCCTGGTACACCACCCACCTCCGCTCACTGAAATGCCAGGTGCGGGCTGCTGAGCGCACCTTTGTCAAATCCGGCTTAACGGTCCACCGACAAATCTGGCTGGACCTCCTCAAAATTTACCGCTCCACTCTAGCCTCGGCCAAGTCGTCCTTCTACTCCAGGATAATCCTGGAGGCGAAGAACAACCCCAGGCTACTGTTTTCCACCACATCCCGACTCCTCCGTCCCCCCGCCACCCCGCGCAGGTCATCTCCTCCAACCTTCACTGCGAGGAGATGCTGGATTTCCTTGAATCCAAGATCAAGGGAATCCGCTCCGCGGTCACTTCCCCTCCAACTTCCACCCACCACCCACCCCTTCCCTCCCACACTCCGACTCCTACCCATCCTCCCCTACACACCTTCGTACCCGTTTCCCCACCCTCTGTCACTGAACTCATCCTATCCCTAAAACCAACCACCTGCTCCCTTGACCCCATCCCCACTCCACTCCTTATCTCCCAGCTCCATTTTCTTGCCCCACACATCACTGACATCATAAACCTGTCCCTCTCCTCTGGCTCTGTCCCCATTCCATTAAAAACTGCCATCATCACGCCCACCCTGAAAAAACCCTCCCTTGATGCGTCGCAGCTATCAAGCTACCGGCCCATCTCCAACCTCCCCTTTCTCTCCAAGGTCTTGGAAAGAGTTGTCGCCTCCCAACTGCGCTCTTTCCTCTCCACCCATTCTCTTTTTGAACCCCTTCAGTCAGGTTTCCGTGCTGCTCATAGCACAGAAACTGCCCTGGTCAAGGTCACCAATGATATCCTGACCATCTGTGACCAGGGCTCCCTCTGTCTCCTCGTCCTCCTCGACCTATCGGCAGCATTCGATACGGTCGACCACGCTATCCTACTCCACCGCTTGTCCTCCCACCTCAACCTTCAAGGCACTGTCCTTGAATGGTTTAGCTCTTACCTTTCCAACCGTCTTCACTTCGTCTCAACGAATGGCTTCTCCTCCACCCCCCGTACTGTCTCATGTGGTGTCCCTCAGGGCTCTGTCCTCGGTCCCCTCCTCTTCACCCTCTATATGCTCCCCCTCGGTGACATCATCCGCAAACATGGGGTTAACTTCCACATGTATGCGGATGACACCCAACTCTACCTTTCCTCCTCTACTCTCAACTCCACGACCACCGATGTCCTGACAGCCTGCCTGTCCGACATCGAGTCCTGGACGAGAGACAACTTTCTTCAGCTCAACGTGCGAAAAACCGAGGCCCTCCTGATTGGCTCACGTCAGCGCCTCCGCACCTCAGGCGCTGACACCATCAGCATCCAAGGCTGCACTCTCCACCTCTCAAAGCCAGTCAGGAACCTCGGCGTTTTGTTCGACCCTGAGCTGTCCTTTCTCCCTCACATCCGCACCACAACTGGCACCGCCTTCCATCACCTCCGGAATATCGCCAGATTACGGCACTACCTCACCCCTCACGCTGCTGAAACCCTGGTTCACGCCTTTGTCACCTCAAGGCTGGACTATGGGAACTCTCTCCTCGCCGGCCTTCCCGCCACCTCCCTCCACAAGCTGCAGGTCATTCAGAACTCTGCAGCTCGTGTACTGTCCCGCACCAGGCTTCGGGACCACATCACTCCCACCCTCGCTCGCCTCCACTGGCTCCCCATCCCCCAGAGGATTGATTTCAAGATCCTCATCCTCACCTACAAGGCCATTCACGGCCTTGCTCCCTCCTACCTCTCCAACCTACTATCCCCCTACCTACCTGCCCGTACCCTCCGTTCCTCTGGCTCCGGTCTGCTCCACGTCCCCCGCCCCAACCGCCCTACTATCGGTGGTCGGGCCTTCAGCCTCTCAGCCCCGAGGCTCTGGAACTCCATCCCCCAGTGCCTTCGCCTTGCTTCCTCCCTTTCCTCCTTCAAGGCCGGTCTCAAAACCTTTCTCTTTGACCGTGCCTTCAGCTCCCCTCTCGACTCTCTTCCTCCTCCTCGCTCCCTCCCTTCCCTCCCCTCACCCTGACCATTTCCCCCTCCTCTCTCCCTCCCTTCCCTCCCCTCACCCTGACCATTTCCCCCCTGCTCGGGTCATGACCCAACTGTGCAGCGCCTTGGGACGTCCTCCTGACGTGAAAGGCGCTCTATAAATGGAATCTTGTTGTTGTTGTTGTTGTTGTACCTCAATTAGGTTTTTATTTTCCAGCGTGTATGTGACTTCCTTATTCCTTCTACTAAAATGTACCACCTCACACTTCTCTACATTGAAATGGATTTGCCATTTAAATGCCCATTCAGCAAGTGTATTAATGTCTTGCTGCAATTTGTTGCAGTCCTCCTCTGTATTAACTACTCCCTCCAATTTGGTGTCGTCTGCAAATTTTGAAATTGTGCTACTGATTCCCGAATCCGAATCATTAATGTTGATTCAATCTAGGAAGTCCTGCTGATGTGAAAGGCGCTATATAAATGCAAGTTATTTGTTCAAATAGAATCTTGTTTGAGAATTAATGATACAATGGTTTATTTAATATACCAGGGTTTTTGCTTGCCGCTTTTAAAATAGATAAATGATTTACTGTATACTCCTGAAAAATTAATAGGTTAAATGCATAGTAGCCTTACTTTTACATTCCAAGTTAACTAATATATAAGGTTTAAATTAACGTCAATGCCATTTCTTTCTCCATGATTTCTTTGTTACATGGCTATTGAAACACCAGGATTAGCTGGGACATTCAATTGTATAGTCTATATATATATATATATACACATACATTATATTTACTGTAAGGAGTACAGGAAACTTAGCAGAAATTATTATTTAACGCTATTTATTTTCTTGACACTCCTATAATGTGCATGGGTGTTTGCCACTTACTGCTGAATTGAATTTAAATCATGCTTTTTGTTTTGCTAACTTGCCAGTTCACCTCATTAACAACAACTTGGATTTATATGGCGCCCTCCACGCCGGACGGCGTCTCAGAGCGCTTCACAGTAACGGATCCCGGGTCCGAGCCAGGGGGAGGGGGAGGAAGGTGACCAAAGGCGCAGTCGAAAAGAAAGGTCTTCAGCAGAGACCTGAAAATGGGGTTCCAGAGCCTCGGGGCATTGTGGCTGAAGGCACGGCGCCGAGGGTGGAGCGGAGGACTCGGGGGACGAGGAGGAGGTCAGACCCGGAGGAATGAAGGCAACGGATACTGTTTTGAGGAGAGAGGAGGTCAGAGAGGTCGGGGGGTGCAGAGGAGTGCAGGGACTTGAATACAAGGGTGAGAATCTTGAAATCGATCCTCTCTGGGATAGACAGCCAGTGCAGTCTGGCAAGGACTGGGGTGATCGGGGAGTGGAGGTTGGTGCGGGTAAGAATGCAGGTGACAGAGTTTTGAATGATTTGGATTTTATGGATGGTAGTGGATGGGAGACTGGTGAGGAGGGCGTTAGAGTAGTCCAGCCGAGAGGTGACAAAGGCATAGACCGGGGTTTCAGCAGCTTTTGGAGAGAGGTATTGGCGGAGACGGGTGATGCGTCGGAGGTGGAAGAAAGCAGTGCTGGTGAGGGATTGGATGGGGGGAGGAAGAATAATTGGGGGTCGAACCTGATGCCTAGGTTGCGTATGGGTTCGGAGAGTTTTAGTGGGAGGTCACTTAGGTGGAGAAGGTGAGAGCCGTGAGATTTTAGATGTTGACGAGAGCCTTTCACTTTGGACCTGTTGGCAACACTGCATATTGCCATCATAATTTATGTGCAGGGTCTAACTTGCAGGTTGTGTTAACTGTGTTTAATATATCTTGAGTGCAGAAGGAATTGCAGGTGCTTTAAAAAAAGTGATTAATAATCAATGAAAAGGATCACAGACCCGGACCATTGGTTTAGTTATGAATCATTTTGTTTAACTCCATCTCCTTGAGCTTCCTAATTTATAATGTATTCCTAATCTGCCGATATTATAGTCAAAGTATGCTGAGGTACCTTTCCTGAATTTAATTCAATCTGCAATAGTTCTGCACACTTTCAGTTTATTTAGTTATGGAGAGGCAAACCTGATTTTGTCCTATGTCTATTTAAAGCAGCCATGAAATTTATGGTTGATACTGCAAACGTTAGATGGATGTGAAGGGAAAAGGGAGTGTGATTACAAATGTATTTTACATTGAACATTGCTGCTGACATTTTTAAAGCAAGCTTTTAATGATTAGTAATACAGTACTAACTTACCACTGACATCATGTTCATCAGTGCTTCTCCTAAGTAAGCACAGAAAATTGCTATTGAGGAAAAAGAAACAGGAAAACATTGTGTTTAGTAAACTTGAAGCAGTTTTTAGAAAAATAATTATCATGAAAATGACTGTATTCTCTGTAACATCACAATTGGCACTAGCCAGTTCCAGGTTGAAATCTTGGTACGTCCATTCAGACTTTCATCTTTTCAAAGTCAATAATGCAAATACCATGCCTGAAAACAATTCTTACCCGTTTCTAAATAGGCGTGCATTCTGTTGGTGCCAAACGTACCTCTGAATCAGTAGGTTGTGGGTTGAAGCTCCTCATTGGTACATTTAACTCATAATCTAAGATGTCACTGCAGTGCAGTGCTAGGGACATATTACACTATCAGAGATGTCATCCATCAGATGAGATATTAAACCAAGATGTTATCCTGTGTGAAGAGCTCTATATAAATGCGAGTTCTTGTTGATGCTGTAACCCAAGGTCCGCTCTGCCAGTTCAGGTGAATATTAAAGATTCCATTACACTATTTGAAAAGAGAATGGGGTATCTCCCACTGTTGTGGTCAACAGGGCCCAGGTAAACTGGGCATTTATTTTACGTCAGTTTGTGGGACACTGCTATGCGCAAATTGGCTGTTACAGTCGCCTACAAACACATAGTCACTATACATTACAGTGAATCTTGTGAAGCACTTTGAGATGTTTCAATGACACAAAAAGGTACTCCATAACATGCAAGAATTCTAATGCAATCGTGATAACAGGATTCAGATGATCCATATTTTAAAACATACCACACATTATTGACAGGATATGGGTTTCCCATGTCAATGCATAAAACACTCCTCCGATAGCACTGCAAGCCAGAACGCAATTATAGCTCCATATTCCATCATAAATTTTCTTGAATGGTGAAGCCAGTGATAATCCTGAAAGGTAAATTGATTTAGTAAAATATGTAGCTTCTACACAATTACAACAACAGCTTACATTTATACTGTGCCCTTCATGTAGGGTAGTGTCCCGGAGTGCTTTACAAGTAAGTAGATACTTCTGTACTGTTTCAATGAGAGTGTGCCTGATGTTTCAGCAATCTGAGATGCTACCCCACATGAAAGGTGCTATATATATCAAGTTGTTGTGTAATTATTTAGTAATCTAATGTACTAACCAAATTATCTTTTAAAATTTTATATTCTATATATTGTAGTACAATACATAATATAATAAAAAGTATATATTCTTTTAGATATTGGTAAACTATATATTATGGCACAACACTTTATGTAATATACTAAAAAATAAACTTACTGATATTATAGATAGTTTTTATTTAATACTGTTCAGTGAGCTCTGATCTGCTTCACATCTCCCGCCTCGCCCGCCCCACCATTGGCAGGTGGGCCTTCTGTCACACTGCCCCCACCCTCTGGAACTCCAGCCCACAGTCCCTCCGTCTCGCCCCCTCCCTTGCCTCCTTCAAGACCCATCTCAAGACCATCCTTTTCAAACATGCTTTTGATCACTCTCCTTTCCCCCCTGACCTCCAGCCTCCCCAATCCCAACCCCCAGTTCGGGTCCGAAACACTGACTGTTCAGCGCCTTGCGACGTCTTCCTGACGTGAAAGGCACTATACAAATATAGTTTTGTTGTTGAAACCAAAGTCATATTGACGTCTATTGAATATTAACTGCAAATAACCAGTTAACTTGTTATTTTGTTTTTAAACAGCACACTTTAACAAAAGAGATTTATTTTGTGTTCTCTGCTTGCATTCTAATCTGTAAATGACAAATTATTTTGTGACACCTGTCATTGAACAGCAAAGGCAAATCAGCTGTTGTACTGGATTGTACCACACCGTGTCACTGGTGGTACATTTAATGTTTGCAAGTCCATGGAGAAATAATTTTTTGTCTTTTTTTGTATAAGATCATCACCATTAGCAAAGCGGAGGGATTGAGGGCGAGTCTTCGGAAAAGATAATTTTGTTGCTTTGCAAAAATGAACTCAGTGGTGCCACAGTAAAATAAGAGTTTGCAATATCACTGGAGGATTTCATCTCTGCGGTGTGTTGACCAGTTTTTCAAACCGTACCAATGAATGGATTATGTAGATGAGATGGTGATTTTTGATGCTTTGCTGGGATTCAGCAACTACTTGCCTGTAGCAAGCAGGAATGTAGCATCTGGATGCAGCGACATTGCTATGCAGTTTTAGCTGGTTAGACCAGCAGTACCCCAACACACACTCTGGAGTCCCCAAGCCTTGGCTCTTGCTAATCTGCACCTAATAAACTGGTATCAGGTAAGCAGGATGTGTCCCACCCAGGAAAGAGTGCATAATTCCATTCCAATAAATATCTTGGGAACTTCCCGGTATTGGTGAGATGCACGGAACTCTTAATTTGGTTTGGATACTCCTTATCACAGTGTTGGTTTCTGCAGACGTCAGACACCTGGCTCAACCCTACAAAATAATGATTCATTCAGGCTAATGCAATTATTGAGGTAAGTTTAAGATACGTATTTAATTATACCTGCTAGAATGCCAACGCAAGATCCGATTGCAGCATGTAGACATATGATCGGAGATGAGATAGCTAACGCAGCAAGGAAAATGCCACCAGTCCAGGGATTGTCACAGCCGTACACCTGTCCAACACCCACTGGAATAGCTCGTAGAAGCTGAATAAATATAAAATGTTTGGACATCATGTGATTTTCAAGAATATGAAAGTTGCTTTCACAAATATGTAATAAGCAATTAATGTTATTAATGTATCAATGTAAAGTAAATTGACTGTATATTTTTGTGGGTGAAATGCACAACTGATGTAAAGCCTAAACCTTTGCAGGCATTAATCAGGGAGCAGAATAGAAATTACGTAGATAAGCAGAAATAATAGCAAAATGTGGCTCAGCTAACTTGGGCTTGCTGTTCGTTCCCCCACCCTCTCCAGATCACTATGAGTGGCCGAACCTTCAGTTCCTACACCCTAACCTATGGAACTCTGTCCCTCTTGCACTCCTCTCTCTTTGTATCTTTAAATTCCACCTCAAATCCTACCTCTTCAACCTTGTCTGCAGGCTACCTCCCACTCCCTCCTTTCCTTTGCTTGGCATCCCACCCCATCCCTGCACAGTGCTCCTAGACATTACCCAATGTGAAGAGCGCTATAGAAATGCAATTTGCTATAGTTGTTTAATTTTCCTTACCATTAGAATGCTGAGATCTGGCCAGGTGATGTTTGGGGCTGTGGTCATGGGTTGAATAAGAACCTGAGGGAAATGCTGATTGTAGTGTCCAGTTGCTGCCATGTAGAGACCCACAGATATATTAAAAGGCAATGTGAAAACAGGCAAATCCCACCGTCCCATCACGGAGGCCAAGGCACTTGAAATAATAGGGCTGTAAAGGAAAATGGTCTGTGACACAAATATTATCATTAAAGAGAAGTTTCCACAGATAAAAACAGTTGCACATAATTTGCCTTGTTTTATATTTCAATTTAAGAGTAGCCCATATTTTTTAGCAGTTATATTTTGTTTTCCCTCAAGTCCAAAGGGGACATTGAACTGTATGTTGGACAGAGTGTTTGTTTTCATGACGGCATAGTATTCTCAAGTGCAATTGTATCATTTTTATATCTTTTTCAATCTTTAATCATTGTATTTTATTACTGTGCACTTTCTAATTATTATTATTAAGCCAGACTGGCTCGGTGGTAGATCTCTTGTCTCTAGGTCAGAAGGTTGTGGGTTCAAGCCCCACGTTGGAACTTGAACACACATAGACTAAGCTTACAGTCCAATGTGTTGCATTGTTAGAGGTGCCGTCCTTCAGATGAAACGTTAAATCAAGGTCTCGCCTACCTGTTCATGTGGACGCTAAAGATTCCATGCCACTATTCGAAAAGAGAAGAGAGTTTCTCCTGCTGCCCTGGCCAACAATCTCCCAAATAAAAAAACAAACATTATTCACTTCATGGTTGTTTGTGAGTCATTGCTGTGCCAAATTGTCTGCTGCGTTCGCACACAAATGCACAATTCATAGTAAATCCTGTGAAGCCCTTTGAGACATCCTCTCAACATGAAAGGTGTTATACCAAATCCAATGATTCCTATTTTTTTCAAGCAATACCTCATTATACTGCCCACTTGTTCCCGCACAATCCCTCCCCATCTCACCCTCCACGCACACACTTACACATCCCCAACTAATTTCCCATCCATTTACATTTTAGAACATGTAGGATACGAAATGAACAGGAAAATGTGAGCATTTAACTTTAGACTTGGAGTTAGTGAGATAATGAAGGTGAGTAGTTGTGACCAGGAATTAAGCATTGAGAGCAGGAATAGTACAGCATTTTACTGATTGAGAGCAATGCCAGGCATCTTCAAATGGAGGAGAGGATAATCTATTTTTTCTTACTTTGAAGAATTAACCTGGGATAACTTTATCATATCATTAAATTATTACACATGTTTCAGTGAAGTCTTTCTGTCATTAACTTACTGGAGTATAATACTTGAACATCTCTAATCTTATGACTCATTTGTGTTAGAGTTGAAATCACTGGTTGCTCTTTGCAGAATAAAAAGGTTGAACTTGCAGTGTTTTATAACCATTTCCTGTGAGTTATCTAGGCTGACACTGCAATGAGGTAATGAGTACTGTCATTCGGATGAGAATCTAAACCGGGGTCAGTCCTGTCTGCCTGTTCAGGTGGATGCTAAAGATCCCACGAAACTGTTTGAAAAGAGAAGAGAGTTTCTTCTCATGATATAGCAAACCAACCCAGAGATAAAATTGTTTCATTCAATTGATAGCTGTTTGTGGCATATTGCTGTGAGTGAATTGGATGCAAGGTTCGCCTAAAAGTACAGTCACTGCACAGTAAAAATCATGTGAAAGCACTTTGAGATGTGATAAGATCCCATAACAAATGTAAGTTTTTTTTTAATCTCTAGGGTGCCCATAGTTTTTAGGGCTGAATGGCTTTCCTCTGTGTCCAAAATTTCTATGGTTTGAAGATTTCCTGTTTAGCAAATTGCTCTTCTCTTACAAACATTCTCTCCCTATTTTCTTCCCTTTGGACTTTGCATAAAAGGGATTTCTTGTTCCAGTTTAATCAACCTATTCATTAATTTTGGAGCATGCCTATGTAGCTTGCAGCTTTCTTTAGAACAATTAGTATTCACAGTTTGTGCCTGTACTGAAAGAAAAGTACTGAAGAACACAGTGCACTATTAAACATCAAATGCCCTCCTCACCAGTCTCACCAGCTCCACTATCAACAAAATCAAACTAATCCCAAACTCTGCCATCTGCATACACACCTGCACTAAACCCCTGTACCACCATCACCCACTTCTAGTCAGACTCCACTGGCTCCCCATCACCGAATGGATTGATTCACACTCTTTTTCAAATTCCTTCATGCCCTGACACCTCCCTTCCTTTCCTTCCCCAACTTCAGGTCATGCCTGAAGACCTTCCTCTTTGACCGTGCCTACAGTCACCAGCCTCCTCCCCCGGCATCGTGCTCCTGCATTATCTAGCGCTCTTGCACGAGGGCTGCTATATATATGCAAGTTGTTGTTTCTAACAGATCATATAGAAATATTGCAATTTATTTTACTTTTCAATCCATTTACTTCTATTTTTTAATTCTTTACGTGTATACTCTTGGTGTAAAAGGTAAAGCAGAAGAATGATTTTCTCAGGATAAAGACTTACTTTCCATTCATACAATTCCTCTACAATTCCTTTGCAGAAGGAACACACTTTTATATCTCTATAAAGTTACTCTATTATTAATCCTTTCTAAAGAGGAAACATTAGTTAGAATATAGATATCAACAATCCCCAGGCGGTTATTTAAACTGCAGTTAATTTTGTGGTCAGACCATTTGCACAGGTTGACTGATCATGTGGTTTTCCTTTTATTTCCCTTCTACTTAGATCTGAGTTTATGGAACATTCCCCAGGATGCAAACCATTCTTGTTGATTTAACGTTTCCTTGAGTGTCTCCAAATCACTGTTTTATGAATCTGGTCCCCAGAGTAAACTCGAGACATAATTCATAGACACATAGATAAATTGAAGATTGAAGATAAATATAGAATATAATGTGTCTGTTAAATTAATTACGATCAAACTAATAATTTCAAAGTCCTTATTCAAATTCAATCTAAATCTCAGGCTGTTACGCATCTATAATAGTTAATTAATAATCCTTGCATTTGATATAGCGCCTTATCACATCTTCAAGAAGTTTCAAAGGTCTTCCCAGAATACATTGTAAAGTGAATTGACTGTATATTTTATGGACGTTACAGGTAGTTATGATGCCACCAGCATTTACGTTTATTTATTATTTGGTTTTTTATTTGTCGTCTGATAACATTTTATTTTTTCCTTTGAACCATTTGATAAGAGGTGTGTGCCCTTATCATTGTGATTCCTGCCTGAATCATTAAGCTATTGTATTCTTATGCTCCACCCGCTCCAGCCAACAGTAATAAAGGGAGAAAGGTAGATATTTTACGGTTGAATACAGAAATTTCACTTCTCAATGAGCATAGAGTGAATGCTTGAGAAATAATTGTCTTCATTTATTTTTCTCTCAGTTACAGTAGCCACTCGCTGTAACTGAGAGAAAGTTCACTTAAAAGGCACAGTAGTTCATTGGCCCTTGAAGCAAGATTTAATTATCATTTGGGAAGTCAGAATAGAGAGAAGCCAAAACTACATTCGAGACGATTACACTCTTGAACACTCAGATTTTTTTTTCCATTTGAGAATACTGTGTTAAAGTTCAACATGCAACGACTCTATTGCTGTGTAACACTATCACTATTGCCGCGGATACACCCCAATACACAAAGGGCACGCAGATCTGTGCCAGGTGGGCAGAACCTGGCACGACAACATAAAACAATATGCACAGTATTTCAATTTTCTTATGCATACACAGAAACCATTTCTACTACAGCACTAATACCAAACTCATGCTAAAATGTGGAGCATAGCCTGGTTCTGAAACTGTATCCTGAGGTCATTTCAGGAATGGAGTTAATGCCAAGATCAGAGACCACATCACAGACCGGCTGCTTTTACAGATTTGAAAAATAAAATTTATACTTTCTTGACCTATTGGAGATTCAAGAAGTCTAAATACATCTTTCAATGTTATTAAAGAGTCAGGTGTTTACTCGACTGACTCTCAAAAATATTACCAGATTAATAGCTGTTCAGCGTTGGTTTGACCACATGTGTAGTTTCATCAGTTGTGCAGAAATTTGAGTTTATACAAATATTCTAATATTGGAATCTATTATTACATGCAATTACCTCTCCCCAGCCACCAAGACACTCATCTACACCTTTAATTTGTGCAGGTTCAATAGTGCCAATGCTTTGCTTGTTGGAATTAGGAAGTAATATTAATCCTTGATTCCAGGTTCACAGCTGTTCTGACCAATTGGTTGTCAGATCTGGATGAGAGCTAACTTTCTCCAGCTGAATGTCGACAAGACAGTCTTCTGCTTGGCTACTGTCAGCGCCTTCTCACTTCAGGTGTTGACAGCATCAATCTCTGTGGATGCACACTCCACCCTGTGGAACCAGTGTTGTACCTCACTATCTTGTTTGATTCTCAACTGTCCTTACACCTCACATCCTATGAGGATAGGCTGAATAAACTAGGGCTATATTCTCTAGAATACAGAAGAATTAGGGACGATCTTATTGAAACATATAAGATTCTTAAAGGGCACTGAGGGTCTGTTTCCCCTGGGAGGAGAATCTATAACCAGGGGTCACCGTCTTAAAATTAAGGGTCAGCCTTTTAGAACAGAGTTGAGGAAACATTTCTTCACTCAGAGGGTAGTGAATTTATGGAATTCACTACCCCAGAAGGCTGTAGATGCTCAGTCCTTGAACATCTTCAAGGCTGAGACTGATAGATTTTTTNAAAAAATAGAGGGATTAGGGGATATGGGGATAGGGCAGGTAATTAGAGTTAGGTCTGAAGATCAACCATGATCTTATCAAATGGCAGAGCAGGCTCGAGGGGCCGAATGGCCTACTTCTGCTCCTAATTCTTACATTCTTATGTTCTTATCCACGCTCTTACCCACTCAGCTTTCCTCTACCTCCCAACATTGCTGACCTCCACCACAACCTCTTCCCTTAGGTTGCTGAGACCCTAATTCATGCATTCATCATATCCAGGCCAAATCACACCAACGTTCTGCTCACCGGACTGCACAATTCTTCCCTTCACAAGCTGCAGACTATCAAGAACTCTGCAGATTGTGTCCTTTCCCACACCAGGCTCTGTGAGCCTATCACCCCCATCCTCGCCCGCCTCCACTGGTTCCACATTCTCCAGCAGATC